AGAAGTATTTTATCAAATTAAGGAAAAACAGACGAAATATGTAAAAAATTAACTTGGTAGAGGGTGATTTTGATAATATTGAATAATCTCCAATTAAAATTTACAAAGATCGATCCATTTTATTCGGAAGATGAAATTAAATGCGTATTACAATTCGAATAAAGCTAAATCACAAATTTATAATTGGAATAATTTAGATAAATTCTCAAATAATAAGTCAGTTTCACGCTAGTTCTTTTAAAGTAAATTTGTGCATAACATTTAGATATCTACTATTTGTATGTTTCACAGCATGCTTTCGATAAACATCGACTTCACATCACTGCGGTTGTTCTGGCTATTTCACACAATTAACAAGAAAATTATACCTTATTCTTTTGCATAATCATGCAATGAAAATAAAAATTACATAAACGGATGATCAAACTTGACATTATTTAATAAAAATGTAATTTTTCCAAAATATCGTAAAGAAAAATCGATACATTTTCACACTCATTTTGCTATATCGTAAACTAAGTCGAAACTACTTAGTAGAAGTCTGAAATGCGACTATGAATAGAGGTAAATTTTAAGTTGGTACTTAAATTTAAGTTGCAACTTTGTTAGTTTCGACTTAGTTGCTGGACTATGAATACGCGCCATTGAAATTATTTTCAGCCTCTCACTCGACCAAATGAGTAAAATCCAGCTGGGTAGACTATACTCGATAGAGACAAAATTGCCACCACAAATAAGAGTTAGTATATTTTGAGTATGTTCTTGTTTTGGTGGAAATTACTCTTAGTCATTTTTTGAATTAGTGTAAGTGCTCATTTGCACTAATTTTTATGGATCATGAATAAGTAGACTAATTTTATTAGTACTCAAAGCCGGTCTCTGCTATATACACATACAATTAGATATGATAGATATTGTATGTACTTATATATTTAAATCTATTTATAGTTTTGACTTGTCTTTCAAAACAATAGCGGCCCTAGAATCCAAGTTGGGAACTGAAATAATAAAGATATGAAAACACAATTTACACAATTTTCCTCACGCACGTTGAATTCATTAGGGATTTGGATAGATGAAATCAATCGAATATAGAAGAATGAGGAATTAGAAAAAGTTGGAAAGATATAAATAAAAACCATGCGTGAAAAGACGAAATTATAACATTAATTAAAAAACAGTTAGTAAGAATTATATAGTTATGTGTTTACAAAATATTAAATAAATAATTAAAGTAAACATAAAAAAATGCACGTCTTGATAACTTATAATGGGCCCAAAATCATTTATAAGTGTTGGGTATAACTATAAATTATCTGACTCGCTCTCTGAGTTTCTCTCATTTATCTTATGTATAACTTAGGTGTAAGAAACATGGTTGCCACAATTGGTAACTTTCTACCAAAATTGGTAACTTTTAAACGGTTTGGTAACTTGGTAACTTTTATTTCATTCTGGTAACTTTTGCAACTAAACATCTATTTGCATTACTAGAAAGAAAT